CTTAAGACAGAGTTACCCTAAGACAGTTACCCTAAGACAGAGTTACCCTAAGACAGAGCCTAAGACAGAGTTACCCTAAGTTAGTTACCCTAAGACAGAGCCTAAGACAGAGTTACCCTAAGACACAGCCTAAGACAGAGTTACCCTAACACAGTTACCCTAAGACAGAGTTACCCTAAGACAGTTACCCTAAGACATAGCTACCCTAAGACAGTTACCCTAAGACAGAGTTACCCTAAGACAGTTACCCTAAGACAGAACCTAAGACAGAGTTAGCCTAAGACAGAGTTACCCTAAGACAGAGCCTAACCTATTTGGCTGCAGATCCCCACATTCCCAGATCATCTTTATCCTAAAACTATTTTTAAAACTTCATCTTTCTCTTCCATCTATATCTTAATTGGTCCCCAAAATTGGGAGGAAAGAAAAAAATATTCTTTATTGGCCCTTAAAATCCCAAAAATTTACCTCATGATCCCCCACCTCAAGGAATCTAGTCAAAAAAAAGTATTACATTTTGGTCAGTGACACCTGAGTTACTCCAGAAAAGGCTTGTTTTTGGAAAATCCCTCGATAACCCAGCAAATAATCAGGCCAAGTACAGTAAGACTGAAGTTTATTTTGTAAGCAAATCAGTTCTATCAGGATTTGTTTTTAATAAAAACAGGGACTAGAGAGAGAAAAATTATGCTTCAGAAGAAAAACTAGTAGACTGTTGTTAGCTGTTCTTCAGAGCTTTTTTCCTACAGTTTAGACTAAATTCTAAATGCTTTATGTGTGAAAAGTCCCCAAACTGATGCTTTCCAGTCTGCTTTTAAACTGTACTCCTCATCCTAGGACTCGTTATTTACCTTATGGTATGCTGTTCACATAAATACCGACTAAAACTACAGATGACAGTACTAATGCTTTTGCCATGCAAACCTTGGAAGCTCAACCAGGCCTGCAAGAGTAAGCTCAGACAACTGCAAAGCAGTTCCACTTTCTCACCATCCCCACTATGTCCCCTGTCGGCAGGAAGAAGCCAGAGTGATGGATGGCCTTTTCCCATCTTCATAGCCTACACCTTGAGGTTCTCAAATCATGTTAGAAGGGTCTCACATTCAATGATCAAGAAGTTAAAAATATCTAGAGCAAGATGTCCTCATAAAAAATGAAATTTTTATCTAGCAGTAATTATTTTCATTTTAAGAAGAGCTTCCTCTCAATGAGTATGCATGTTATTAAAAAATTAAAAAGAAAGAAAAACTTCCCTTTCTCCCCTCCTACCCAAAGTATTTAACAAAGAACTGTCTCTGTGCAGTGGCTCACACCTGTGATCCTGGCACTTTGGGAGGCCAAGGTGGGTGGATTGCTTGAGCCCAGGAGTTCAAGACCAGCCTGGGCAACACAGTGAGACCCTGTCTCTTCCAAAAAATAAAAAATAAATAAGGTGGACTGCTGTCTCTACAAAAAAAATTTTTTTTTTTTGAGACGGAGTTTCGCTCATGTTACCCAGGCTGGAGTGCAATGGCGCGATCTCGGCTCACCGCAACCTCCGCCTCCTGGGTTCAGGCAATTCTCCTGCCTCAGCCTCCTGAGTAGCTGGGATTACAGGCACGCACCACCATGCCCAGCTAATTTTTTTTGTATTTTTAGTAGAGACGGCGTTTCACCGTGTTGACCAGGATGGTCTCGATCTCTTGACCTCGTGATTCACCCGCCTCGGCCTCCCAAAGTGCTGGGATTACAGGCTTGAGCCACCGCGCCCGGCCCAAAAAAAAAATTTTTAATATCGGCTGGGTGTGGTGGCTCACACCTGTAATCTCAGCATTTAGGGAGGCTGGGTGGACAGATCACCTGAGGTCAGGAGTTCAAGACCAGCCTGGCCGACATGGTGAAACCCCGTCTCTACTAAAAATACAAAAAATAGGCCGGGTTCGGAAGCTCATGCCTGTAATCCCAGCACTTTGGGAGGCCGAGGTGAGTGGATCACCTGAGGTCAGGAGTTTGAGACCAGCCTGGCCAACATGGTGAAACCCCATCTCTACTAAAAATACAAAAATCACCTGGACGTGGTGGCAGGGGCTTGTAATCCCAGTTACTCAGGAGGCTGAGGCAGGAGAATTGCTTGAACCTGACAGAGTGAGACTCCATCTCCAAAAAAAAAAAAAAAAAAAATACAAAAATTAGCCAGGTGTGGTGGCACCTGCCTGTAATCCCAGCTACTTGGGAGGCTGAGGCAGGAGAATCACTTGAACCCAGGAGGTGGAAGTTGCAGTGAGCCAAGATTGTGCCACTGCACTCCCCATCCGAAAAATAATAAAAATTAGCCGGGCATGATGGTGCACCTGTACTTCCAGTTACTTCAGATGCTGAGGAAAGAGGATTGCTCGAGCACAGGAGTTTGAGGTTACAGTGAGCTGTGATAGCTCCACTGCATCCCAGCCTGGTAATAGAGCAAGATGACACTATCTCAAAAATTTTACAAACCAAAACAAAAAACCAGTAGGTGACTTTCCCTAGGTTTCACTCTTTTTAGTGAACTAGATTCAGACATTTCATGCAGTACCCTGCTTTATATTTCTTTGACTTAACTTTGGTATCAGAAAGAATCTTTGCTACCTAGAATGTACAGTGTGTGTTTCATGGCAACACTGGCTGTGTAAAATTAAAAATTTTTGGTAGCACCTAGAAACAGAAATACGAAATCATCAATGGTTAATTGTTGCAGTTTCAAAACTAAGTATAAAATTAACATGGGCTGGGCGTGGTGGCTCACACCTGTAATCTCAGTACTTTGGGAGGCTGATTGAGGCAGGTGGATCACCTAAGGTTAGGAGTTCGAGACCAGCCTGATCAACATGGTGAAACCCCGTTTCTACTAAAACTACAAAATAAGTCAGGTGTGGTGGCGCATGCCTATAATCCCAGCTACTTGGGAGGCTGAGTCAGGAGAATCGCTTGAACCCAGGAGGCGGAGGTTGCGATGAACAGAGATGGTGCCACTGCACTCCAGCCTGGGCAACAAGAGCAAAAGTCCATCTCCAAAAAAAAAAAAAAAAAAAATTTAGTGTGTAAGAAAGGCTATTATTTCGTGTTATTTCTTTTTATGTATTTGTTTTTCATAACAGAGATGGTGTTTCACCGTGTTGCCTGGGCTGGTCTCGAACTCCTGGGCTCAAGTGGTTCTCCTGCCTTGGCCTTCTAAGGCAATGGGAGTAAAGGCATGAGCTACTGCGCCCAGCCAAAACCAAAGTAAACCCACTGTTTTATAGAAGGAATAAAAACCTGAAGAAGCTGATTTTTGGTTGTATAATATTTTACACACTGTGGAGTTGTGGCATCTGCTAATTGAGGCAGACATGCACTGTATTTACTCCTGCCCTGTACCTGTATCCTAGATCCCTCCCTCCCCACCTCCAACAATCTACTACTTTATAGCAAGTACCGTGGCTATGAGCCTATCAACCCAGACAATCCAATGAACAAGGTTAGTGTAATGCACTGGTGTGAAGTGTGAGATACAAAAGGCCCCTTTCACTCTTCATCAAAGTTCTGCTATAGAAGAAAAATGGCAGCCAAATTCTCATTCTTCTCACAAACAAAATATGCTTGTATTCTAAGTCCTTCAGAAAATTCCAATGCCTCTAGCCTTTGTATAGCTGCTTTTCCCTGGCATTACTTGAATGTAATTCATATGACCACTTCCAGCTTCTGCAGTCCCTCCACTGCCACCTCTTCCTCCTTGACCTCCGGCTTCTCGAACTGGCTCATACAGCATCTGAATAAAATGCTCCTGGTGTTAGTTAATTTGCTGCAGTGATTGAGGACCCTCTCCACCTATCTGGTGTAGCAATGCTGAAAGCAGGAAAGGATTTTATTGATTAATTGGGTAGACATTGTTTAAAAGATGTTTCTGGCCAGGCCTGGTGGCTCATGCCTGTAATCTCAGGAATAAGTAGAAGAAATTTTTTAAATGCTCCTTAGAAAGTTTGCCATGAACAGTGTAACTTCCGTGTAAGGAAGAAATGAATGTAGTGAAGTGTTTGTAGTCATGTTAAAACAGGCTTCTGAAATATTATTTATATACGATTTTAAAAAGACGTTCTACAGATGTTACTTATGCAGTGTGTTGTGAAAAGCATTACTTCAGTGAAGGAATGTAGTTACCATACTGAAATTCATGTAAACATTCCCTGACAGGATTTATGGGAATTTCTTTGCTCTTAAGAGATTAATAAGAAATGGAATGAAGCTGGGCATGGTGGCTCACGCCTGTAATCCCAGCACTTTGGGAGGCCAAGGTGAAAGGACTGCTTGAGGTCAGGAGTTCAACACCAGCCTGGCCAAAATGGTGAAACCCATATCTACTGAAAATACAAAAATTAGCTGGGTGTGGTGGTGCGTGTCTGTAATCCCAGCCACCTAGGAAGCTGAGGCAGGAGAATCGCTGGAACCCGGGAGGCAGAGGCCGCAGTGAGCCCAGATGGAGCCACTCCACTCCAGCCTGGGCAAGAGAGCAAGACTCTGTCCCAAAAAAAAAAAAAAAAAAAAATTAAAAATAAGGCTAAAGCATGGTGGCTTCAGCACTTTGGAAGACTGAGGCGGGAGGACCACTTGAGGTCAAGAGTTGGAGACCAGCCTGGACAACATAGGGAGACCCTGTTTCTACGAAAAAATAACAATAAATAAATAAAACAACCATGTCAATACCAGATCAGTAAAGCAGAGGGGACATCAAACTTCATTCCAGAGGCTAAGCCTGACTCAAATCCAGTTCAGCCGAAGCTAGGAAGCCAGTCTCCCTGGTAAGCCTCTGAATGTCATGTTAGTATCAAAAGCGCTGCGAGACATGATACCAGAGCCCCCGTGTCTTAGCTGTTGAGAAGGACCTCGTGTGTGGTGGGAACCGGGGTTTTTTATTTCCGAGATTCCACATGAAGCCCTTCCTCTACTGGGGACTCTGAAGACCGACTGCGCCTCAGTAGTCAGGACTGTGACAGAAGGATTTTACTCACCATTGACGCAGCCTCAAGTTGTGCCAGAGTGAGGCGGTGTCCCCTTAGATCTGTGGTGAGGAAAATGAGGTTCTCGTCCTCGTTGCAGGCGCAGCGCTGGCGGCCATAGGAGGAGCACGGAGGCGGTAGGGGCTTCTCACGGGTCCGACAAGGCAGCTCGTACGCCCTCTGCTGGTCATCTGGGGCAGCGCGGGGCCCTCGGCGCTCGCTCACTGTTTAGCGGTGGTCGCGTGCCCTCTCCTGGTTGTCTGGCTGAATTAAATTCAGTGTGCAGATTATTCAATGCCGTGATTTTGGACGTTCAAATTAAGATGGGGCCCGCTATCCTATGTCTTTCTCAAAAATATTAAAGGAAAAAAGAAACAGAATATGTTTTTTAAATTTAAAAAAGAAATAAAAAAATGTTAAGGGAACAATTAATTGGAATGAAATGAATGTAGATATGTTTTACAAGTTTCACAAAAATTCATTCAAAATGGTCCATTGACTTAAATTTAAAATACGAAGCTATAAAAATTCTAAAGTTATGTTAAATAACATGGAAAGTAATGTCAAACGACAACTACTTAGCCAGGTGCAGTCGCTCACACCTTAATCCCAGCACCTTGGGCAGCCAAGGTAGGAGAACTGCTTGAACCCAGGAGTTTGAGACCAGCCTGGACACCCCCCACCCCACAACCAACCCATCTCTACAAAAAATACAAAAATTAGCCTGCTCTGCCTATGAAGTAGTCATTCTTTTGTTTCTTTACTTTCTAATAAACTTGCTTTCACACACACACACAGTAGCCGGGCGTGATGGTGCACACCTGTAGTCCCAGCTACTGGGGATGATGAAATGGGAGGATCACCTGAGCCCAGGAGGTGGAGGCTGCAGTAAGCCCTGATTAGGCCACTGCACTCCAACCTGGGTGGCAGACAACTTATCGAGAGAGAGAGAGGAGAGACATAATCATCTTCTCCAGGTTATATTTGAATTAGTAAAATGTTGTTTCAAAAATTGTGTCAAGTTCCTGGAAGTTTGTCAATGTCCTCCCTATCCAAGATATGACCCAGTGTAATGTTATCAGTCATAATCCTGCTTATCATTTTAAATGTTGTATACCACAGAAACAACCAAATTTCCTTGCCAGTTGCATTATAATGAACTTTCATCAGACCTTAACCTTAGCCAATTTACATCTTTTGGATTGGGATTGTTTTTTGTTTTTTTGATGGAGTCCCACTCTGTTGCCCAGGCTAGAGTGCTGTGGTGTTATCTCAGCTCACTGCAACCTCCACCTCCCAGGTTCAAGCGACTCTCCTGCCTCAGCCTCCCCAGTAGCTGGGACTACAGGTGCATGCCACCACACCCGGCTAATTTTTGTATTTTCGGTAGAAACGGGGGTTTCACCATGTTGGCCAGGGTGGTCTCGAACTACTGACCTCAAACAATCCGCCCACCTCGGCCTCCCAAAGTGCTGGGATTACAGGCATGAGCCACCTTGTCTGGTCTATTATTGTTATAGTCAGCATCTTGCTCTGTGTCCCAGGCTGGAGTACAGTGGTGCCATCATAGCTCACTGCAGCCTGGAATTTTTGGGCTCAGGCAATCCTCCTGCCTCAGCCTCCCAAGTAGCTAGGAATACAGGCACATGCCACCACGCCCGGCTTTTTTTTTTTTTTTGGTGGGGTAGAGATGGAGCCTCACTATGTTGTCCACACTGGTTTTGAATTCCTAGGTTGAAGCATCCTCCCACCTCAGCTGCCTGAGTAATTGAGATTATATGCCACCACACCCAGCTATTGCTGGTTCTTTAACGTTCTATTTTCTGGATTTAAAGAAGCCTTTTCTCTTAAGCTAACTATATCTTATAACAATTTGGGAGACTATACTTTTATAAACAGAAATGAAATATTTATCTTTTTCTCCCTGCCCGATCCCTCCAGAATCTAGAAACTCTTATTGGATATTCTTAGTTTCATGGCAATATAGTTATTTGCACGAATTCAGTAATATCCTTACCTTGTAACAGAACATAATTGAGAAAATTGGTAATATTACTAATTCATTGACTGTAAAGTCCCATTTGAGACTGATGTACATAGGATATGACCGGACAGCGTTAAGGAACTAAGGTTGACTTTACAGAACCAATGCTCACAAACCCCTCTGTGTGACGGGGAGCCTCATACCTGAATTACAGAGTTCCAAACCTAACAAGTAAGTAGAGAGGGTCACTTCCTGAAAAGACCAGAAAACAGGATGTTTTGGGGACTTCAAGAAGAGAAGAATTCACCCAAATCTATAGTTACTGCAGGTGAAGTCTCATAATAGATTCTTGGCTTGGCTTCCTAGCCTCAAGAGGGGTTTTGAAAGTCCAACCTGACGTTCCTTTTTTTTTTTTTTTTTTTTCCCTTAAATAGAGACAGGTTTCGCTATGTGGCCAGGATGGTCAAACTCTTGGGCTCATGTGATCCCCCAACCTTGCCCTCCCAAAGTGCTGGGATTACAGGTATGAGACACCTCTTTGAAAACTGGATGCTGCCATTTGGTGCATTATGTCCCATAAAGACACTTGTGAGAAAAGAAGCCAAGCATTGTCCCCCCTGTTAATGTGTCTATTATCAGTTCATTTACAGATCTTCAACCACTGGAACAAAGTTAGAAGAGGCAAGTTTTGCTCCCAAAAGTGCATGAGCAAATTGGGATATATTCATGCAATAGAATATTAATCAGCATTAGAAAGAAACAAATTAGGCTAAGCATGGTGGCTCACACCTGTAATCCCAATACTTTGGGAGGCTGAGGCAGGATTGCTTGAGTCCAAGACTTTGAGACCAGACTGGGCAACATAGTGAGACCCCATCTCTTAATTAATTTTTTAAAAAAGAAAAGAAAACGGAAATCTGGAAAGCCATATTTATTATTATTATTTTTATTGTCACAGGGTCTCACTCTGTTGCCCAGACTGAAGTGCAATGGTGTGATCATGACTCACTGCTACCTCAAACTCCTGGGCTTAAGGGATCCTGCTGCCTCTGCTTTCAAAGGTTGCTCGGACTACAGGTGTGCATGACTACGCTCAGCTAATTTTGTTTTTGTTTTTTGTAGACACAGGGTCTCACTACGTTGCCCAGGCTGGCCTCAAACTCCTGGGCTTAAGTGATCATCCTGCCTCAACCTCCCAAAGTGCTGGGATTATAGGCATGAGCTGCCATGCCCAGCTAGTATCATTCTTTAATAAAAGGAATCAGGGCTGTTTGAAGAAATGGTTGGTACTAGGGCTGGGACAGTAAATATATGAGCTAGGATAATCTCGAACTCTCAAAAAGTGTGGTCTTCAGACATCCAACAAAGGATGAAAAATTTATAAAAGTTAAAAAGTGTTCAAGAAAAAAATAGATGAAATTAATGATACAGGAGTTAAAAGCTTTGCGCAGTGGCAGTATGGCAGCCAATGAGGTTTATCCGAGGCGCGATTGTTGCTCATTGAAAACTTTTCCCAATACTCCGCCATGACGACTTGAAATATAGTCGGCATTGGCAATTTTTGACAGTCTCTACGGGGACTGAATTATTCTAAAAATAAAAATAAATAATAAAAATAAATAAAAATTTTAAAAGGAGTTAAAAAGAAGTTATCTAGGCATGCAGTGAGAGTAAGGAAGTCCTCAGTAAGGTTTCCCTTTTAATGAAAAGCAGCCCCAAAATCATTTCTTTTCTAACAAAGAGCAGCCTATAAAATCGAGCTGCAGATAATAGATGAGCAAGCTGGGAGCTGGCACGGGTGAATGCCAGCAGCTGTGCCAATAGGAAAAGGCTACCTGGGGGCTAGGCACATTCAACATGGCGGCTCCATCTTCCCTTTTCCTTGTCAACCACATGTACAGTAAGGAGCAGACAACATGGCACCGGCTGAGTAGAAAATTCATTTGCATAATAAGATTAGGGTGGGGTAGCCAGCTTCTTCCTGTGCTCTGTAAATGTCACCCCGGTCCAAACAATCTTTGGGCCCTGAATAAATCAGACACTGCCTCCTCAAGCCAGTCTCTCTTTCATTCACCTATTAAACCTGCTCTTAACTTCACTGCATGTATGTCCACATCCTTGATTTCCTAGGCCTGAGGTGACAAACCTCGGGTATTACCCCAGATGAACAATGTTGCTTCATTAAGTCAAAGTAAAACAGGAGCCAATGGCTGGGTACAGTAGCTCAGGCCTGTAATCCCAGCATTTTGGGAGGCTCGGGCAGTTGAATCACCTGAGGTCAGGAGTTC